CATCCAATTCCAAGACCATTTGCCGGCCCAGGGTAACAATTTCCTCAACAATAGGCACATCATTTACAGGCTCAAACCCCTCAAAGTCTAGTTCTGTCACAGTTTTTCAGGCCACAATTTTCTCCAGCCAGAGATCAGGGTTCTTTGAGTCACTTCTTGCCAGGCTTTGTCAATGAGTTTTAAAGCACTAAAAATGCTAAAATGGTGTTTCCAGAAGCCTTTGAGGGTGAGGTTTGTGGCTTCAGTCACTTCAAAACATTTCTGGAAAAGTGCCCTTTCATAGTTTTTTTTTTAAATTCGCTATGATTTTCTGGTCCACAGACTGAATTAGAAGAGTGGTGTTAGGAGGAGGAAGTAAGGAGGAAGGCATTTTACTGTGAGAAAATTACTGTAACTGTGCAACAATTCATCTTCCAAGCCTGGAGGATGAGAGCAGAAGCGTTGTCTAGGAGAAACAGGGCCTTGAGTGGCAAATGTTTCTCCTGCAGATATTTTTCTATGGCAGGGCACAGCACTTCATTCACCCACTCCAAAAAACATCCTAGTCACCCATGCCTTATTATTAGCCCTCCACATCACACACATTTGGTTTTTCTGCACTTTATACTGTTTGAAAACCCTTGGATTTTTAGAATGATACACTAGCAAGGGTTTAATTTTCAAATCGCCACTCGCATTTGAACACAGCACAAGCGTAAACCAATCTTTCATAGGCTTGTGTCCGGGCAATGATTTTTCCTCCTTGGTAATGTATGTCCTCTTGGGCAATATTTTCCATAACAGTCCTGTCTCATCACAATTAAACACTTGTTGCAGTAGGTATCCCTCAGCCTTAGCAAACTCTTTAAATTCTTCAATAAATCTTTCAGCCGCTGATTTGTCTGAGCTAGGCTGGCACTATGAATACCACTTCTTTTTCTAAATGTTTTCAAACCATCCCCTGCTTGCCTTAAAGTCTATCGTATCTGCAATCGTTCCAGGGGTTTTCTTTACAAGGTCTTCGTGCAATACTCTGGCTTTCTCACAAATGATGGCCTCTGAAACACTATCCCTACAAAGTTCAACAACACATGCACCATTTTCATGCTTTTGAATGATCTCTTGTTTTTTCCTCTATTGTCATCCTCACATGCGATTTCTTGCCTTGATCCTTACCACTGGCTTTCTTGGGACCCATGGTGAGATATATAATAACTTTTATGGTCAAATGGCCAAAAATCCAACAAAACACTGTAAATCCTGGTGACAAATTCAGGTGGGATAGTCACTGGGCGCGAGACAAAGGTAAACTGAGGGGCGATCACCGTGTCACCATGCACTAGGTCGGCCTGTACGCGTATCAACACTCTCGTCTTCCGAAGCAACGCTTGTATTCCAATGTAAATTTTCCGAGCAAATCCTGTTTGTATTCCGAAAAACTCGTAAACAGGAACGCTCGTATTCTGAGGTACCACTGTAATTCAAAATAAAATTGTATAAAATCAAAGTGACGTACACTCCTGTTTTCTGTTTTGCATCCTCTGGCTTAGGTTGTTAGGTTAGGAGAGAAAACTTTCAATTAACGGTTTTCATGAGGTTTTGAAACCTTAGGAGAACTTCCTACCCTCCTAACCTACCAGAGAACATGCTGTTTGGGGGGGGGGGGGGAGGAATTTTCAATTATTTTTCGTCTTCAAATTACAGCTTTTTTTTGGCCATAACGCATATAAGCGAAAAGCGACGTAATTTGTAAGAGGACAGGTTGGGGGAAGAGCCTTACAGATTGTAATGATACATCTCCCAGGAGATAGGATGCATGTTTTTGTCTACCACCAACTAAATACACATTATATATATATATATATATATATATATATATATATATATATATATATATATATATATATATATATATATATATGCGAACAAGCCTGAATGGTCCCCATTTGGTTCGCATTTGTGTTCCTCACGTGTGCCCCAAAGAATGAGGTGATTTGGTAAAATGCTATGCCCAAGATTACTATCCGAGTGCCAGCGGTGGGGTGGTTCAAATAGCCTCGGCTATCACCTCATTTTGTCCGGTCGTGATGGTCAAGTGGATTAAGGCGTCTTGTACATACCAGTTGCGTTGCTCCTGGGAGTATGGATTCGAGTCACTTCTGGGGTGTGAGTTTTCAGTTATTTATATATATATATATATATATATATATATATATATATATATATATATATATATATATATATATATATATATATATATATATATATATATATATATATATTTCAATTTCAACAATTGAACAATTTCATCATACATGTATTGAAAGTGGTTTTGCAGAGGATTTTGTGCTTGTAAATACAATATACTGTGTATATATATATATATATATATATATATATATATATATATATATATATATATATATATATATATATATATATATATATATATATATATATATATATATATATATATATATATATATATATATATATATATATATATATATATATATATATATATATATATATATATAATATTTTATCTAGCTGTATTTTATATATATGTATTTGTAATATTTTATCTTATTATCTGTATTTATATATATATATATATATTATATATATATATATATATATATATATATATATATATATATATATATATATATATATATATATATATATACAATATACTGTGTAAAAATAAATAAATATATATATATATATATATATATATATATATATATATATATATATATATATATATATATATATATATATATATATATATATATATATATATATACAGTATATTGTATTTACAAGCACAAAATCCTCTGCAAAACCACTTTCAATACATGTATGATGAAATTGTTCCCCTCCCCCTCACAAAAATCCCTGTAAAATATATATATCGTACATGCCGGAAAATATAGACAAATACACATTACAACATAATAAAAGACGAGTTGATGCAGTGCCGAATTTGCTGCAGTAGCATCACCAATTACAAACATATATTGTGTCCACTTTCAAATTAAAAACAAATACCAGCTGTAAATCAGTTAATGACATGACAACAACACACATGTTGCCCGTATTGTTAGGAATAGCTAACAAGATATTTTAGTGTCTTGGTCAACATGCTCGCCTAAATGCATTATGCCATTTGTTAATATCCGAGGGATAAAGGCTAAATCTTTCCCCCATGTAATAGTGAGCCAGTATGGAATGTGTGCGAGATAAGTGCCACATAGAAAAACCAAAAAAATCATCCCAAGTCATCCTGATCAGCTGTGAGGAACAATTAATCATATACAGTATTGAAATATTATACAATACTGATACAATATTTGTACAATATTTCAATACTGTATATAGTGACCTCTTCCCACATTCTTCTTCCTATTCAATTTCAGATTAAAAAAAAGTGAACCCAAAACTTCTAAACATACCAGATTGTAGTTTACTCTAAATTTTACCTTGTACTGTACACTTACACACAGATATCACACTAATGTGATGCATCAAATGAACAAATCCACAAGGGCCGTGACGAGGATTTGAACCTGCGTCCATGAGCATCCCAGACACTGCCTTAATTGACTGAGCTACGACAGGGTTAAAAAAAAAAAAAAAAAGAGTTGAAACCAAAGTTCTACTGAACTTACTGGATCCCGTAGCCTCTCAGAGGCACAAACCAGGATTTTACACAACTCTCCCCTGCACCCGAGCTATATCAATAGGCCGTTCTCCCTCTTCGCCCTTACATCATTACACACAGAGATCACACTAATGTGATGCATCAAATGAACAAATCCACAAGGGCCGTGACGAGGATTCGAACCTGCGTCCGGGAGCATCCCAGACACTGCCTTAATCTCTCCTCTTTTAACCCTGTTGTAGCTCAGTCGATTAAGGCAGTGTCTGGGATGCTCCCGGATGCAGGTTCGAATCCTCGTCACGGCCCTTGTGGATTTGTTCACCTTGTACTGTATATTATAGAAATTCAATAGTGGCTGTATTCCATTTTTAGTAAATGCAAACAAGTTTTGGTAGGTACCCAGTCATATTGGCATTGATTCCAATGAACTGGCAGATGAAATGGCAAAATTCACAATTCAAAAGTGCATTCCCCCTTCCCCTGCTTTCAATGCCTATACCTTTCACAGATTGCTACCCAATAACACACGCAAACCTTATTTACACAATGATAACAGAAAAAAATCAAAATTGCCATACATGACTTTTCCCACTAACCTACAGTTCACCAGAACCAAAAATTGAGAAACGTTCTGAGCTCACACTTGCATATTGGCTATGCCGTACTAGGCTGACTCGTGGTCATGTGATGAAAATACATTCCTTGAGAAAACCAATAGGTGCCAAGAGGTAGATTCGAACCTATGCTCTGGGTACTCTCAGCAACAAATGCCTTACACCACAACATGGTCAAAAGCATTGAAACCTGGGATTCAACTGAATCCTTTAGGGTTGTAGAGGATTCTGAAACAATCAGGGTTTCATGAATTGCCCCCCATGCACTCTGGTCATAGTCTACAAGTTCTACCTCCAATGCTTCTTTTTGAATGGGGGATACATACATAAAATGGGGCTATAGTATGTAGAACTGCATATGCAAAATGGGGCTACAGGTACCCTCTCCAGGACTGCATACACAAAATGGGGCTACAGGTACCCTCTCCAGGACTGCATACACAAAATGGGGCTACATGTACCCTCTCCAGGACTGCATACACAAAATGGGGCTACAGGTACCCTCTCCAGGACTGCATATGCAAAATGGGGCTACAGGTACCCTCTCCAGGACTGCATACACAAAATGGGGGCTACAGGTACCCTCTCCAGGACCGCATACACAAAATGGGGCTACAGACACTCTGCAAGACTACATACACGAAGGAGTGCTATAGACACCCTGCAGGGTTAGGTTACACAGAAAATAGGGCTACAATATGAACATGATCCAAGTAAAAAAATTCTAATTAAAAACAATATTTAAATTCTTTAAAAAGGTAATAGTTTAATACAAAACTAAACCAAACTCATCTACATTTTATTATTTTTAATTTTATGGATTCAGTTCTGGAATTGACACTTTCTTCATAGTACGATGCACTGATGTGTTGTGATAATGTGAAAACCATGGCTAGCAACAACAAAATTGGACAATTTTTACCCAGAGGATTTTGAATGCAATTTTTTATGAAAAAAAAAGTCTAATTTAGACTAAGGAGGCCTGGTCGGGGACTGGGCCGCGGGGACGTCGAGCCCCAACATCATCACGTGGCAAGGTAGACCAACTCCCTACCATTGTGCTTATGATGGATTTATCTCCTGATCAGTCATAGTTGTCTATTGTGACGTCATCTTCTATGTTACTCGGAGACGTTTCTACTTCTTCTTCCATAAAATCCCTGGAATGGTGAAAAGCAATTTGATTACAAAAAAATTACATTTGGTGTTCAAGACCTTATATTCTGATGCTCTGCTAAATGCTCAGTCATTGGATTATTGTACCCTCTCGGAACATGGCCGATGCTACGTGCCGTTGAAACTCGCCACTTCTCCTACCTGTGAGTTTGATGACTGGAACAGCAGACATATGAGGACAGTCTCATGATCGTTAAAAAAAAAGAAAAAAAAAAGTCCTGAAAACTCTCACAACAAAAGCATCGCAAAGTTACAGTAGAGTATATTTCATATATTACAAGATTCAGCTGAGTCATGCATTATTAAAATCTTGCAGAAATGCAAATTCGGTGTGAAATTTGTATATTAGTAAATTTTTAGAATCAATATCACAATGTGAACATTGCCAGCCATCATGATTAATAAATGAAATATTTACTGTAACTGACTAAAAAAAAAAATGGTTTTCAAGCTTCAGCAATTGCCTTTCATCCTCAATCTGGCTGGTCTGAAGTCAATAATGTCATATATGCCCCATGCAGGCAAGCTAAGGAAGTTACATTGGAAAACAGACATTGAAATATGTGGTCAACGTGCATGAACACCTAGGATTCATAGCGAGTACAGTATTTCACATACATATACACCTATCTTGAACACATCCTAGGTACCTAGATGGGGTGGAAAATATTCTTGGAAAGTAGTTGAAACACCAGCTAATCTATACCATAGTCACAACTATCAATTGTCATTCCTGTCATCTTTATAGTCGAGTGAACAGCTAGTACACTAACCCTTTACCCTAGTGATGATCTTAAATCAATCACTGCTTACAAATAGCCATTAGTAAATGCAGATATTAAATGTAAATGCTTTTTATTAAAACTAGGGCACTATTTCTCAGTAACCACTTAAGATGTCTCAAGACACTCACTTGCTCAACCTCACTTGTGACAACAACATTAACGGTGGGAACGGTTTTAGGCAAAACCCTGACTAATTCAGGGTTAGTTGGATACTACCTCAAATCATCTTGACTATCCTTTCACACCCTGATAATTCTACACAGGTGGATATCTACTTAAACCCAACAGGACATTAGTCTATGTTACATCTTCACAAAAATATCTAGAATTGGATATCAATTAATCAATACTGTGGACACCTTCAAGAGAAAACTAGATAGTTTTCTTCAGGAAGTGGCAGATATGTGGGCCTGTGGGCGGCTCCAAGCAACAGTCTGTTGGACCAAGCTCTCGCAAGTCAAGCCTGGCCCCAGGCTGGGCTTGGGAAGTAGAACTCTCAGAACCCTATCCATGTACAATCCACGTACATGTACTGTAACAACTTTAGTTTGTTTGTTTGTTAGAATGGAGTAGTTATTACCATGGGGTAACACCCCCAAGCCAGGTTAGTTTAGAGCCATCATCATATTTATTCATTACAAACAATTATAATGATGAGGGTTCCTGTGCCATGAAATAACAACCATTTATTGTATAGCCAACTATACAAGGGCAAGAAATTTACTTCTGCCAGAAATTTGTTTGAAGGGAGGTGGTTAGGTCAGCAGAGTCACAACACACATGCACACGCACACGCACACACACCCGGCAACTTAATTGCAACTTTGACAGTGAGGCAGAGATTCCTCCACCACTACCACCAGAATAATTCTAGACTAAAATAAAGACTGTCCTTTAATCAAGAAAGCAAAGAATTTTCAATTCTTTGTCCCTTAATCAAAGAAATCAAGAAATCCCTTAAATGCATCTCTTATCTAAGAAAAGAAAAGCATCTCATGTGGCAGGAAAGCAAAGAATACAATAGGAAAAATTAACCAATAATTTCAGAAAAATGCTTAAAGACATTATCCAATTTTGGCATATAACCCTAGAAATGGTTTGATTATTTATGAGAGCATATTTACAATTAACTTCTCTTAACAGTAAAACAGTTTGTAGTGCCACACAAAATTTGTACCATGTGAAATCAAAACGTTTAATGATACAGAAGCGCACTCAGTTGCTCCGAGTTAGCCAGTATTGTATCCATACTCCACCGACCACATAACTGAGAGACAACCAAATACTGTATAAAGTGTAACTCGTCAAAATCTTACAAAATGCTGCCCTATAAAGGTTTAACATGGAATCGACAAGTGACACCTATCCAGTTTACCCAGAATAAGCAGTCTCTTATTTACAGTGTGTAAGCTGCCCTCTCCCGTGAATATGAATGATGGCCCTTATATATTTTCAATATATTTTCAATACTGTATATTGAAAATACAGTAATCGTATTTTTATATTATCTTGTGTGATTTCCAACATCCATAATAACTTCTGTTGCAATGAACCATTAGATCAAATTTTCTTGCCAATTTGGTTCTTCGTACAGCAAATAATAATTCACCAATATGGATTTGTGCACAACACGACCTAGTAATTTGTACAGCTATAATATTCATCAGCAGCATAGTATTAAGGCTGTCCTTTAAACATGACCTTTTCTCTTAAATAAAAAAAAAACAGATATTACAAGATATGCAGTATTGTATACAGTACATCAAAAGTGCACTTAATTGTAAAAGTCAAACATGCTCACATTACACAAACACTTCAAATTAAACTTCAATGCTGCAGTTTATAATGACAACATTTCTGAAGCAGCTTACTAAATATGCATGCCACATCAGCTGAGGCATATCTTATTAGAAACTACCTAAATAAGGCAAACAAGACAGTTGACAAAAGATGACCAACATGACAGGCACTGAGCTATGAGGAACAGAGACAGACAGACAGACAAGGCACAAGAACAACTTAGACAGCTCTATGGACACTACCATGTCAATATGCCTATAGTAGTCTCGCAGACACAGTCACGAAGGTAATATTCCTGTTAACCTAGTGATGGAAATCTAAAACACAGTCCAGAAAGAAAATTACAGTCCCTGTAACACGGTGGTAAAGCACTCTCATGGCGCTTTGCAAGCGATTTGGCCTTGTTCATATCCTGGCCAGGGAGGATTGACTGGGTGCCAATTCTTAACTGTAGCCTCTGTTCACCCAGCAGTGAACGAGTACCTGGTTGTTAAATGATTTTGCGGGTCGTATTCCAGGAAAATTAGGATTAAGGACCTGCCCGAAATATTACGAGTGCTAGTACAATAAAATATATAACTAGGAAACATTAACATTAGAGCTCTTGATATATCAATTGCATACTAAAACTAGATTTTTTTTTGTACTGAAAGGCAATAAAGAAAGGGCTCATCAATCCCCTATACTGTACTCATACAGAAAAATATTAAAAATATATGAATGTCCTATTGTCTCTCAGTGTGGCAAATTAAATGCTGCACTTCCTCTTGCAATATTTCACCTTACTGTACTGTACCTGTACAATATGTACAACATTATACAATATAAATACAAATCTGTAGCATATCCCATGAAACAAGCAAAATTATGAAATATTGAAGAAATACATAACGTCAGATCCCACCAATAAGAATGGTTTAGGTCATCTTGAGTAATAAACTAGTGGAGTCAAGATGTCACATATTAGATTTTTAGGTATACAATACAGTACTGTGTTGGTATCTTTGTACAGGAAAAGTATATGGCTCATTAACCCTCAAAGTGAGGCTATCATCAAAATTGTCACCCCTGAACTTTGCATTAATAGCACAATTCATCTACATTTATAAATGATCATTCATGAAAATACAAGTCATCACCGTATACTGATGAAACATGATACGAGACGGTTCAGTGACACACCCGACTACTTGCAGATGGGCAAATGATTTTGAAGAAAGATACGAGTCCAAGTCACTGTATGGTTCAGGAATGAGAGAAGCACGTGTCATATACCAAAAAGCTCACGTGAAAACTATCTACAGTGTGTGTTTTTCTCTCAGTCAAGACAATTTACAGCCTCCATGTTTGGGGAACATACAACATCTATTACAACTGGACCAGCCACAAGAAGGAAAAACAAAAAAAAATTGAGTGCCAGGAAGGGGGAAAAAAAAGCAAAAATGCAAAAAAAATCCAAAGGCATTAAAATCCAGAAAAACAAATAATTAGCCAACCGTTTACGGATGTTCTTTGTAGAGGCAGTCAAAGATGTTTTTGTATCAGCCAATCACCAGTTGGTTGAGACTTTGTCTTGGCACAGCTGTGAGTGCAAAATTATTCTACATTAAACAAATTCACTTCATGGCAAGGAATGGCATGTATAAAAAAAAAAAAAAAAAAAAAAAAAAAAAAAAGAATCACAAAATTCAGCATCAAGTAACTTCTCAAGCATTTTGTGCCTTCATAAAGGAGAGTAACTAGGGAAGAAGACAAGGGTAAGCAAAGCTGAATATGAACAAGAATAACAGGACATGCAAGAACAGGATTACATAATTGTGACTGGGTTGGCTGAATCAATCTTGACTGCCCCAAATGTGTCGTGACTGTGTCCTGACTGGTATTGCACAGTTTGGTGATCAAAGTGAATTAGAGGAGCAAATGTGAGGAGTGCATGAAGATCAATTCCAAAGGATACATTTTATGGAATAATCCTAGTGGAAAGAACAAATAAAGTACAGTACAGGAGTATACCGGCACTAGAAGATTGAGTGGAAGGGCATACAGCCAGACCCTTCATATTTGCAGGTTTCCTCGATATTTCATTCAAGTCTGTTTTCTCGATTGGCAGTACATCACGCACAATAACAACTTTTTCACCGATTTCACTAAAAATATTTTCATCTAACATTATATTTATTATTTAAGAAATTGGTTAATGAACAGCATAAAAAAATATACGACTATATCGCACAAACTGCAGCAAGACTACAGAACCCTGTGGGTTCCTACGTGATCAGTTTCTGCCGCAATATAATCAGTTCTTCACAGTTTCCCCACTGATCTACTTATTGAGGAAGCCCTAAGCCAACAACTGATCTTGCCCAAGATGCAACCCACAACAGCTGCCTAACTACTGAGTACCTATTTACTACTAGGTAAACACAGGCATAGGATGTAAAGACAGAGATAGTCACATGGGGATGGATGGATGGAGAGAAGGAAGGAAGAAGAGAGACAGACAGGTACAGAGAATCCCACATATGAGGTTGTTCTGGAAACTGGAACATACTGGAGGGGTGATGGGAAGACTTCTAACACGGGGGAGTGGGGGGGGGGGGGGAAGGGATTTAACAGATAGAAAAATGAGGGAAATAATCAGAGAAAATGTATCAGACTGAAGAAATGGGACTAGTGAAGTACCACACAGTTCAGTTCTACTACCAATAATGTTCAGCATTTCTATGAATGATTTGCCAAAAGGAACACAGAATTACAGTGGAACCTCGAATAACGAATTTAATCCGTTCCAGCGCCGTGGTCGTCGTGTGAAACTGACATCATTCAAAACGAATTTCCCCCATTTAAAATAATGGAAATCAAATTCATCCGTTCTACCACTGAAAAACATCAATATGATATTCGATGTTTTAAATAATAGAGCAGCCTACCTTACATACACTGAACAAACCTTTGCGACATTTTTTTTTTTTTTTTTTCTTTGTATAGCAAAAGGTTCGTTCGGTCTTTGTCAGATAGGCTGCTCCATGTTTCTTAAATAACAAAAAAAAATTGAAACAATTTGAAAAAAGGACAAATGCCATATAGGTTCGTTCAGTGTTTGTCGGGTAGGCTGCTCCATTATGACAATCTTTCCGTATTTCAAATGTGTTCCATTTGTTTCGTATTTTTCATTTACGTATAATGGAGCAACCTACCCGACAAACACTGAACGAACCTATATGGCATTTGTCTGTTTTTCAAATTGTTTCAAATTTTTTATTTATTTATTTAACAAACATGGAGCAGCCTACCTGCCGAACACCGAATGAACCTTTTTTACTTTTTTTTTAAATTTCATTTCGTTTTTCTACAAAAAAAATCAATGCTCTGCAACATCCGAGTATCAATAGCATCTTTAATCAAAGAAAAATAATTTATTTGCATCATCGGAGGCATCCGAGAATGTGCGAGAAGCAGCGCGACTCCACCATGTGGTGTTGACGTTATTCAAACGAGCGCTCGCCTAATGAGACAAATTATCGGTGATCAAGGCACTCGTTACCCAAATTGCTCGCCATTTGAGGCGGTCATCACTCGAAATTCTACTGTATATGAACATGTTTGCTGATAGTGCCAAGATACTGGGAAAGCTTAGAAATTTATATGGTTGCCATGCTCTTCAAGATGACCTGGAACAAAGTATATGGAGCAACACTTGGCATATGAAATTCAATGTGAATAAATGCCATGTTATAAACTGTGGAATAGGAGAACTAGGCTACACACGCAACTTACATATGTGAAAAGGCTTTAAATAACTCTGATAAAGAGAGAAATCTAGGAGTGGTTCTGGATAGGTAACCAAGGCCCACACAAAGGACATTGCATGAGAAGCCTATGCTATGCTTCCTAACTTCAGAATTGCTTTTAAATATATGAATGGTGAAATATTAAAGGAATTATCCATGACCTATGTGTGACCAAAACTGAAATGTGCAGCAATTGTATGGTGCCCATATTTCAAGCAGCATATAAACAAACTGGAAAAGGTGCAAAGGCATGCAACTACAGTGCGTAGCTTCCCAAATTGAAAAACAAGTGCAACAAGGAGAGACTAAAGGCAATAAATATACCAAAGCTAGAAGACAGAAGAAACAAAGACTTGATATGATCACCATGTACAAAACAGTAACATGAATCAACAAAACTGACAAAGAGGAATTCTTGAAACCTGGAACTTCAAGAACAAAAGGTCATAGATTCAAACTTAGGAAAACTGCCAAAAAAAAATACATTAAAAATTCTCTTTTTGTAGAGTGGTAGATGGTTGGAACAAATTAACTGAGAAGGTGGAAGAAGCTAAAACCATTAGTAGTTTAAAAGCATCACATGACAAAGTGTACTGGGAAGATGTAACACCATGAACATAGCTCACATCCTGTAACTACACTTAAGTAATTACACTTTGCTAAAAACACACACACACATACAAATACACTCCAATTCACCAACCCAAAACAAGTTTAGAAATAGGGTGGTGGATTTATGAAAATCTACCATGTATCACTGCATTGTTTTAACAGTAGGTTAGACATACAGTTGAGTTCAGTACATATCAATGAGTTTGGATGAATATCTCATGAACTGTCTCATATAGGCCACAAGGCCTTCTGCAGTCTATTTTATTCTTGTGTCTTTATGAAGATGTGTGGAGGAAGTAAAAGGGAGGGGGTGGGGGTGGTGGTGGTGGTGGGGTGGGGTGGGTGGGTGGGTGTGGGGGGTGGGGGGTGGTGGTGGTGGTGGGGTGGGTGGGTGGGTGGGTGGGTGGGTGGGGGTGGGGTGGGTGGGTGGGGGTGGGGTGTGTGGGTGTGTGGGTGTGTGTGTACTCACCTAGTTGTACTCACCTAGTTGTGTTTGCGGGGGTTGAGCTCTGGCTCTTTGGTCCCGCCTCTCAACCGTCAATCAACAGGTGTACAGATTCCTGAGCCTATCGGGCTCTGTCATATCTACACTTGAAACTGTGTATGGAGTGAGCCTCCACCACATCACCCCCTAATGCATTCCATTTGTCAACCACTCTGACACTAAAAAAGTTCTTTCTAATATCTCTGTGGCTCATTTGGGCACTCAGTTTCCACCTGTGTCCCCTTGTGCGTGTTCCCCTTGTGTTAAATAGACTGTCTTTATCTACCCTATCAATCCCCTTCAGAATCTTGAATGTGGTGATCATGTCCCCCCTAACTCTTCTGTCTTCCAGCGAAGTGAGGTTTAATTCCCGTAGTCTCTCCTCGTAGCTCATACCTCTCAGCTCGGGTACTAGTCTGGTGGCAAACCTTTGAACCTTTTCCAGTTTAGTCTTATCCTTGACTAGATATGGACTCCATGCTGGGGCTGCATACTCAAGGATTGGCCTGACATATGTGGTATACAAAGTTCTGAATGATTCTTTACACAAGTTTCTGAATGCCGTTCGTATGTTGGCCAGCCTGGCATATGCCGCTGATGTTATCCGCTTGATATGTGCTGCAGGAGACAGGTCTGGCGTGATATCAACCCCCAAGTCTTTTTCCTTCTCTGACTCCTGAAGAATTTCCTCTCCCAGATGATACCTTGTATCTGGCCTCCTGCTCCCTACACCTATCTTCATTACATTACATTTGGTTGGGTTAAACTCTAACAACCATTTGTTCGACCATTCCTTCAGCTTGTCTAGGTCTTCTTGAAGCCTCAAACAGTCCTCTTCTGTTTTAATCCTTCTCATAATTTTAGCATCGTCCGCAAACATTGAGAGAAATGAATCGATACCCTCCGGGAGATCATTTACATATATCAGAAACAAGATAGGACCGAGTACAGAGCCCTGTGGGACTCCACTGGTGACTTCACGCCAATCGGAGGTCTCACCCCTCACCGTAACTCTCTGCTTCCTATTGCTTAGATACTCCCTTATCCACTGGAGCACCTTACCAGCTACACCTGCCTGTCTCTCCAGCTTATGTACCAGCCTCTTATGCGGTACTGTGTCAAAGGCTTTCCGACAATCCAAGAAAATGCAGTCCGCCCAGCCCTCTCTTTCTTGCTTAATCTGTGTCACCTGATCGTAGAATTCTATCAAGCCTGTAAGGCAAGATTTACCCTCCCTGAATCCATGTTGGCGATTTGTCACGAAGTCCCTTCTCTCCAGATGTGTTACCAGGTTTTTTCTCACGATCTTCTCCATCACCTTGCATGGTATACAAGTCAAGGACACTGGCCTGTAGTTCAGTGCCTCTTGTCTGTCGCCCTTTTTGTATATTGGGACCACATTCGCCGTCTTCCATATTTCTGGTAGGTCTCCCGTCTCTAGTGATTTACTATACACTATGGAGAGTGGCATAATGTGTGTGTGTGTGTGTGTGTGTGTGTGTGTGTGTGGGGGGGGGGGGGGGGGGGGGGAGGGCAAAAGCAATGAAAAGGGTATGGAGGTAAACCAATGAAGGATTGTTTCCACAGGATACACCTGTGGAAACAATGAAAAATGGAGTAAATTGTTGAGCAAGCAGAGAAGTGTCAAATATAGGAAATGTCTAGGATTTGTGTGGCTCAACTTGCTGTAAGCTGCAAAACTCCAATGCTAAAAATTAATATAAAGTGAATTTGGATTTGAATGGAACTTAAAATCACAGCTACCTCCATTCCACTCCTAAATGCAACAGGAGCTATTTAACTTACCCCTCCATAATATTGTCCGAAAACAGTTGATTGGGTAGCGTGAGAGAGACTGTCGTTGTCGTGAAATCATTCATTGGTTGTCTGGCAGCAAGGCGACGCTCCACCTCTTCTCTGCTCAGCTGCCCATCATTCGTGTGTGTACCACCGACTCCACTTCCAGGGACGTGACGACGAGCAGTCAACTATGGACAAATATTACAATAATTTGACTTAATATCAGTGGAAATGAAAAATAAAACAAGCCCTGTAGATCTTACTAAAGAAGTCAATCATTCCACTGGTACATATACGTATAGGATTAAAGACCATGCGAGTATATCATTTAAACAAAAAAATATAATAGCACCAGCATTCAATGGCTGTTTAATCTATATGCAGCTGACATGTATACCAATACAATTTGTATTGTGTACAATACAATTTGTGCCATGACCTCATAATCTTACGGACCTAAAGTATAGCACACGTTACAAATAAAACACAATATGTGAACTTACAGATCCTAACCACAAGGATTGGTGGTGTGAACAATTTTCTGATATTATACAGGATATGAATCATGTCAATAACTGAACTGGCAAAATCTAAGCCCATGTTTGAGATGAATGATGAGCTCTTAAATATTAATACTTGCACGGCTCCATTCCCTCATAAGTGATATTTTACCCTGTTGATTTATTAACAAATCAACAGTTTATTAACAGGCAGCATGACGGAGGCAGTACTGTTGATTGTCTCCCTGAGGCAGGAGCAACAAACAACCTTCAACTTCGCCCAAGGCAAGAGTGAGCTCAGAAGAAGTATCCATGATACCACCAAGCCCACAGTTGTTTCCCAGGGCCCGTAGAGTGAATAAGCCCTTCTTCATGAGGTTATTTTTAGATTATTTCAGGGCTTAGCATATCCGCGACCCGGTCCTCGATCAGGCCTCCTTTTCGTTACAGATCCCCAAGAAGCAGCCCGTAGCAGCTGTCTAACTCCCAGGTACCTATTTACTGCTAGGTGAACAGGTGCATCAGGGTGAAAAATTCTTCCCATCTGTTTCTGCCTCCGCTGGGGATCGAACCCGGAACTTTAGGACTATGAATCTCAAGCGATGTTCACTCAGCTGTCAGGCCCTGCAGGAAGTCCAGGCACAGGGGCCAGCAAAACCAGTAGAACCCTGTCTGTAGCAGGCATACTGACTATCAGTAGCAGCTGTGAAACCTCGGGGGCAACAGAGGATGACTACCAACACAACCTAGGCTAGCCTAATAAGGAGCTAAGTACTGTATACCTCTTCTGTCCACAACAGGCAAAAATGCCAGAAAATGAAAAACAAAAACCCCCGATGTCACACAGCTAGCAAACTAGCAGAGAGAAATATCAGCCGCCGAGTTGATAGTAAAGCTGGTTGTGCTAGCCGCAGTGCTAGTTCAGCCAGCCAACAACACTCCACTACTTGGGGCAAGACAGAAAGCCCCAAGACCCCCAACACATCCCAAGGGCAAAGGCATACATTAAAGACATACAGTACACTATAATAGAGAGAGCAGCTTCAGTTGCCTGCAGGAATGGCTCCAGACTCTTGATCATGGGCAATTTCAACCATGGAAAGATAGACTGGGAGAATGGAGACCCACATGGAGGTGCAGATACAGAGAGAGCTAAATTCTTGGAAGCGACAACAAGGAACTTTCTGAGGCAACATGTCAAGGGACCCACAAGAACAAAAGTCAATGATGAACCAGCTAGACTCGACCTGATATTCACTTTGAATGAGTCAGAAATAAGGGAAGTAAAATTTGAAACACCCATAGGAATGAGTAACCACAATGTATTGACATTAGAGTATCTGGTGGAGATAGAAATAACTTATCCAAGGAAGGGATCGGAAGGGAAAAAACTAAATTACCGACGAGAAAAATGTGACGAGATAAGGAACTTACTAATGGGAATAGCATGGGAAACAGAACTCGGAGAAAAGACTGTACAGGATATGATAGACTACATCATCCAGAAGTGTCAGGAAGCTGTAGACAGGTTTATCCCAGGCCCAAAAGGAGAAAAATAAAAAGCAACAGAAGAATCCATGGTTCAATCAGGAAAGTAAGGTAGCCAAGCAATTGAGTACAAGAACAAGAAAAAACTACAGGAATAACAGAACACCAGAGAGCAGGAGAGATACCAGAGGGCTAGAAATGTGTACTTCAGAGTGAGGAGAGAAGCAGACACAGTATGAAAATGACAGTGCGAGTAAAGCCAAGACCTGACCAAAACTGCTCCACAGCCACATCAGGAGAAAAATAGCAGTGAAGGAACTCCTGATGAAACTGAGAAAAGGGGAAGAACAGATACACAGAGAATGACAAGGTGGTGTGTGAACAACTCAAAACATTCCAGGAGGTCTTCACAATAGAACAAGAAGCCCCTGCACTAAATGAGGTGGTGGCAATCCAAGCAACCTTGAATAAATTTGAGCTCACCAGTGATGAGGTCAAAAGGAATCTGTTGGAGCTGAATGTGACAAAGGCTGTTGGGCCTTACAATCTCACCATGGATACTAAAAAAGGGTGCAGAAGCACTAAGTGTGCCACTCTCTCACTGGAAACAGGAGACCTACCAGGAAGCTAAAAAAAGACAGCTAATGTAGTCCCAATATACAAAAAGGATGACAGGCATGAGGCACTGAACTACAGGTCAGTTTCCCTAACTTGTATACCATGCAAGATGATGAAGAAGATCGTGAGGAAAAGGCTTGTAGAGCATCTGGAGGGAAATAGCTTTCTAACACCACCAAGCATGGGTTCAGAGATGGTAAATCGTGCCTCACAGCCTTAATAGAATTCTATGACCAAGTAACAAAAATTAGGCAAGAAAGAGAAGGGTGGGCAGACTGCATTTTCTTGGACTGTCAGAAAGCCTTTGACACAGTACTCCATAAAAGGCTCTTACAAAAGTTAGAGCAACAGGCAGGAGTACAAGGAAAGGTGCTCCAGTGGCTAAGGGAGTATTTAAGCAACAGGAAACAGTGAATAACTGTGTGAGGGAACATCAGAGTAGCGAGATGTCACCAGCGGAGTCCCACAGGGCTCTGTACTTGGACCCACCCTGTTTCATTAGAAATAGGATGGGTCCAAGTAAATGTAAATGATCTTCCTGAGGGTATAGACTCATTCCACTCAATGTTTGCTGATGATGCAAAAATTGTGAGAAGAATCACGAAAGATGAAGATTGACAGACTATAGGACGACCTGGACAAACTGGAGGAATGGTCTAGAAAATGACTACTAAAGTTCAACTCGGGTAGGTGCAAAATAATGAAATTAGGTGAAGGGAACAGAAGGCTGAACACAAGGTACCATCTGGGAGGTGAAATCCTGCAAGAGTCAAATTGAGAAATATCTGGGGAGGTTGATATCATACCGAACCTGTCCCCGGAAGCCCACATCAAAAGGAAATCATCAGCGGCATATGCTAGATTGGCCAACATAAGAACTGCCTTTAGAAACTTCTGTAAGGAATCGTTCAGGACCTTGTATACCACTTATGTCAAACCAATCCTTGAGTATGCAGCTCCAGCCTGGAGTCCATACGTAGTTTAACACAAAACAAAGTTAGAGAAGATTCAGAGGTATGCCACCATAGTAGTCCCAGAAATGAGAGGTATGAGCTACGAGGAAAGGCATAGTGAGCCAAACCTCACATCCCTGGAAAACAGAAGAGTAAGGGAAGACATGATAACTACCTACAAAATTCTCAGGGGAATTGACAGGGTGGACAAAGACAAACTCTCTAGCACGGGTGGAACATGAACAAAGGGACACAGGTGGAAACCGAGTACCCAAATGAGCCACCGACACATTAGAATGAATTTTTTCAGTGTCAGAGTAGTTAACAAATGGAATGTGTTAAGCAGTGATGTGGTGGAGGCAGACTCCATACTCAGTTTCAAATGTAGATTAGATAAGAGCCCAGTAGGCTCAAGAATCTGTACACCAGTTGATTGAGAGTTGAGAGGTGGGACCAAAGAGTAAAAACTCAACCCCCACAAGCACAACTAGGTGAGTACAACCACAAGTGAGGAAGTCCTCATCAGGGAGCGAGTCCCGAATGCCCCAGAAAAGACAGTAAGTAATTATCAAAAGAAGACACCAAACCAGGAAGGCTATGTAGCACCATCAAATGTGCGGGATAATCAGAGAGCGCTAAATATCACCAGATGCCAATAGAGAACAGAAACGCATAAGGCGAATGATATCAAAAGTATCCGAGTCACCAAGAATACTATCGAGGGACAAGCGACCCTGGGGGGACGGTCGGAAAACAAGACACACGCTCGTCCCGGAAGTCAGGACATTCAACAAGGATATGCACAACCGTAAGAGGGACAATGCAATTCAGACAATAAGGAGCAGGGCGTCGCTCCATCAAGTGACCATGAGTTAAGCGAGTATGGCCAATACGCAACTTCGCCAGAGCCGTTTCCCATCGCCGGTTACGGTGGTAGGAGGACGGCCACGAGGACACACAACTCTTAAGAGTACGCAGTTTGTTACCAGTAACAGAAGACCAACAAGCCTGCCAATGGGTAAGGATGGAGGAATGGATAACCAGGTAAAAGTCAGAATAAGGAACACCTTTATGAGAGTTGGGACAAGAGCGGACAGCTTCCCTGGCGGCCCAGGAAAGATAACCGTAAAACGTATGCGTAGTACTAACGGAGCACCTAGGGGAAGGGAGCCCTAGGCGCATGAAGCTCCTGTACACTAATACACCTGGCCACCACACAAAACACAATCCGGAACAGCCACACAGAGGGAAAATCCAGAACAGGAATGTGAGACCAGAGGCGACGTCCGACCACCAGCACATCAGTTAACGAACTGGGGTTGTGGGCCGTCAGCTCACCCGGGGTAGCTCCCCCTCGCCCTCGTGCTAATGAGAGGGGTGCTAGTTTGATGAACAAATCCACAAGGGCCGTGACGAGGATTCAAACTTGCGTCCGAGAGCATCCCAGACGCTGCCTTAATCGACTGAGCTACGACATGGTCAAAAGGAGTTGAAACTCATTTGATGCATCACGCAATTGTGATTTCTGTGTGTAGTGTAGTTTGATGATGTTTTGCTTGCTTGTTTGTTTTCTTTCTAGGGGAGATTTTTTTTTTTTGGGGGGGGGAGGACATAGCTAGTATTGTGTAACCAGACAATGGTCTATTTTGATTCACCTACCTTTCTGGGTCCTTTCCTAGTCGATGGCAATTATGACATACTGTACTATAAATTTAAAATGCTCATAAGCCATTGTGCCCTAAGCTTCTCTGAGGAGGCCAGGTTCTGGTTCGTGGTCCCTGGTAGGTAAAGGACTCTGTGACTGATGACCCCCCAAACTAATATAGCACTATATCAGTTCGGATAGCTTCAGGGAGCCGACAGGGCTTTCCCCAGAAAGGATATCATCAGTGGCATTTGCGAGGCTGGCTAACATCAGAATTGCCTTTAAAAATTTGTGTAAGGAATCATTTAGAACCTCATGCACAACACATGTAAGACCTATCTTGGAGTATGTGGCTCCAGTATGGAGTCAATACCTTGACAAGCATAAAATGAAATTGGAGAAGGTTCAAAAGTATGCCACTAGACTAGTTCCAGGTTTAAGAGATTTAAGAAAAAGCTGCGTGAATTGCACCTCACGTTGCTGGAAGACCGAAGAGTTAGGTGAGATATGATTACCACAAACAAAATTATCAGGGAAATTGACAGGATAGATAAAGATATAACAAAGACATAATTTAACACAGATGCTTCTCTTACACACGGGGACACAGGTGGAAACTGAGTACCCAATTGAGCCAAAGAAGCATTAGAAAGAATATTTTCAGTGTCATAATAGCTAATAAATGGAATGCAATAGGTTGTGATGTGGTGGTGGCAGGCTCCATGCACAGCAGGACCAAAGAGCTGAAGCTCAACCCTCACAAGCACAATTAGGCTAGTTACATATATATGCATACATACATACCAGCATTTCATTCATACCCTTGTGTGTTCCACATATTCTAGGCACTAGCAAGCAATATTAATTCCAAGTTTTTATCGTTGTCTGGAGAGTTGTAGCGGGAAAACAAGGGGTCACAATACAAGAAATGGATCCTCTTTAATGTTCCTCATACAGGACTCGGGCCAATCACAAACACAATGAAAATACAAGTCATGCAAACATGGAGTAAATTGCTAATGAAGATTTAATTGATTTAAAAGTTTAAATAAATGTAAAGAAACACTTTAACCACTGTACTGCACAGGTATAAAATAGGCCAAGCCCTGGGTGTGCAGACAAAATTATTCCCCTAAAATTTTGTTTTCTTGTAATGTATTATTAAAATACATTCTCTGACCACAAGACATTAAAAACAAAAAAAAAATGTATGCAATATACTTTGGCTGTAATGGGACGAGGAAGTGGTGAAATATTCACTCGCTGAGAGAGAACAAACCAACAACAGTGTGCTACAGCCAAACAGTGAGGCATGGGACTGCCACAATTTTTTTTTACATTGAAATAATAATGTCATTCAATGGTTTTACATCTAGTTTTTTTGCAGTAATGTTATTCAATAGTGCATAATTTGAGGATTTTGAATAGTGAAGTGTGTGGAAGATCACCATGCTTAAAAACATGGTGCTCTATATCTTTTGACATTTAATATTCTTAGATCAAACTGTTTTTGCACACACACATTATATACATCCATCTATACTGGTATATTTTTATAAATTGTAACAAACCACGAAGTAATTCTGGTGTGTGGTGATGAAATCTTAGCACACAGTATAGAACTATAAAGTACAACCAGCTGACTCGAGCAATTGACCTCATCTGACATCGATTGACAGCATAATACCCAGATATGTACTACACACATCGCTATTATTACTTCAAACACTACTATTATTATCAGATCCCTGTCACTAAATCATGAATATGAATAATTTTTGACAGTATTATTTTCGAAAGGAACATGACGTCACTTTGCATGAGGGGGGTAGTTTCACAAACCTGGATTGTGCGCTATGAAAATCTACTTCCTACTGTGATCATAACTAACATTGTGTTCACTGATATATGAACCTTGTACATCATTGTTATTACAGTCCTGATCATCTATGACACTATCGCAAAATAATTGTCATTGCTTATTTTATTCATAATTACCTAAGTGTAGTTACAGGATGAGAGCTACGCTCGTGGTGTCCCACGAATTCATAATTCATGATTATTAGGTGGTGCTCTGGCCCAAACTTGTACAGCTACAGTATCTACATTTGTGTGCACCATAACAAACCACTGAGATGATCTGTTGTGAGTTTAAATACAAAGAACATTGATCCAAGGTAGATTATATGCAAGCTGCAGCTGCATGCACCAGCTGTGGTTGCTCTGGCAGTACTGAGGCTCTCACCGTCAGGAGGGAGGCAGACAATTTTTGTCGTCGAGATGGCATCCGTTTACCGGCGTTCCGAGGAACAGTCTTGAATTTTGCGATATACTAACAAACATGATATGTAGGGTGGCACACCCCCCCTTTTGTCCATGATATCACAGGTTGTGCAGTACAGTGGTTAATGTCTATGTCAAAGTTCAGAACGTTGATTTATGTTAACAAATTAGTAACTATAGCACTATTATTTTATTTACTAGAGTACTGTACAGTATTTGCAAATAAATGTTTGTCTTTCTATTATAGAGTGTAACCACAAAACACCAGAGCTAGTTAAAATGGAAGTTTTAGAAAGTCACGAAGATCTGGCTACAGCACCAGTATTTAAAAGTTCAGTACAAAGACTCAAACTTTTAAATGTATGCAAAATCTGGAATGACAAACTTTTAAATGTATGCAAAATCTGGAATGACAAACTTTTAAATGTATGCAAAATCTGGCATTGTTAACACTATCGGTCACTATGGACTGGACTCTCGTCCATTATTTTTCTCCTGAGTCCTAACCAAGGACAGGACTGGTGTCCACTACAAAAATATTTATATAAAATTCATTTTTTATCCAATCGACCTAGGGATAGTATCAAAATAAGCATCATTAGAATGCGCACAATTTGATACCAAAATGAAAGATGTAACATGAAACTTGATGTCCAAACACATGTATGATTATAAATAGGTTTTTGGTCAAAATTTTAAAATATTTGTTAAAATTCTATTTATTGTGCTATTATGTTGGGACTAGTTTTAAAATGCGCACCTTTACGTCGCGAACAATTTGATACCAAGATGAAAGATGTAACACAAAAATTTATGTCAGAACACTGGAAAGATATAAATAATTTTGTGATGATGAGCTTCCAGAATTAAAATATTTGTTAAAATTCCAGTTATTGCTCTATTATTATGGGACTAGTTTTAAAATACGCACCTTTTTATTGCAAAAAATTTGATACCAAACTGAAAGACGTAACACGAAAATTGATGTTATCAAATTGAACGAGTATACACATTAGGTTGCAGTGTACAAATTGGTGCTCGTTCACGGGTAACTTTAGGCTTTTCTGCGGGAAGACACTCTAAACTTTTGTACATTATATTCATACACATCTGTAGGGAATTTAATTGTGAACACAATGATACCAAAACGAGCAACATAGCACGAGAATTAAGGTGAGAAAAATGGAACGAGTATGCACAATTTACTGATTTTGTGCGCTCACGGGTAACTTTTGCCGACTTTAGGCTTTGCTGTTGGGAGTCACGCCAGGCTTTTGGACATTATATTTATACACACCTGTAGGGAATTTAATTGCGAACACAATGATACCAAAACGAGCAACGTAGCACGAGAATTAAGGTGAGAAAGCTGAAACGAGTATACACATTTAGGTGTCACCCCGCGCTTGCCCGCACACTCGCCCGCACGTCGGGTGCATGACCCCTAAGTTGGCCGCGTGCCTGTCCGGTGAGCGACAGTGTTAATAGTTAATAATATTTTAAAAAATTGTCATTGATTTTGTAATCTGTAAATTATTAAAAATTCTCTAATACAATACATTTTATATAAATATTTTACTGTACTTAGTTATGCAACATGGAGTACAATACTGCAACTGTATATCCAATATCTATCTGGTTTTACTTACCGCGGCTGCGGACCCAGGAAGAACGTGCGTGCTAGTTAATTTACGCACAGGGGTGGTATTGCTAGGACTATTGCTGCTGTTATTATTGGTGCTGATACCACTGGAACTGGAAGTGGCTTGGATGCTACTATTACCGCTATTACTACCTACAATTGCTGTGCCCAAAGGTATCTGCCAAATGAAAAACAAAAAAAATTATGACCCATCAATTATGACCCATCAACCTGTGGCATTGTGTACCCACAGGTTGAGAACCACAGCACTATATAGTACCTATAATACTTTACATCACACGATCAGTAAATGAGAAGACTTGAAACTTACTGGAATAAAAACAAACAAAAATAAGACAAAGTTATAAATAACATTTAAAAGGACTTTATTTACTGCACAAAACTCAAAAGTATTGGAACACCTAACAACAGCTTGTAAATACACAACAAGAACTTTAAAAATGCTTCTTGAAAAATTATTTAGAAAAGTTTGTTGAAAGGTACTAGGAGAAATTGTGCATTACTTTAAAGTTATCTTAGAGGAGAAAATTCTACAATCTACCAATCCACCACCAGAGGATCCCAATGAATAGTTGAGGACTCGTTCTTGGCTAAAAGAAGCAAAGAATGTAGAACACGGAGCACTACCCGGGATGAAAGGAACAAAACCACTTCCTGCAGCAAAGCGCAGCAAGTTCCCAAATATAACTACGAGGAACCAGAGCCGTCAAGAGGGGGTCTGGCACGAGGCCCCAAATACTACCCAGTTACCAGGGTAACTCGAGAAGAAAACTCCAGAAAGGAGAACACCTTAAACTCTTCTGAGTAGATAACTCTGGTGAGGAAACAAAAGACACAAACTCATGCCCAGGAAGGTAACCCTAAAACAAAATTTGGGGCAAACTAATTACCAAGGACACAAATTGGAGAGTATAAACACAATCATAAAAGTATAAAAGTGTAAGGAGGCAATTTGTGCTGCCCCTTAATACTTAAATGTCTTACAAAATTCTATCAGGATGTCATTGATACTAGACTAGAGCGATTGTTTGACATATCAAATTGACATATTTGAAGAGTTAAAGCTAACCAAACTCTTGGGATAATCAAGCGTACTTTTGACTATAAGGAAAAGAATGTAATGGTTCAACTGTATAAATCTCTGGAATGCCCACACTTGGATTACTGTATACAGGCATGAAGACCTCATTTTCAGAAGGACATAGCTGCTCTGGAGAAGAGAAGGTGCAACACCGGGCAACAAAAGTCATTCCAGAGCCAAGTTATCTCTCGTATCAAGAACACTTGAGGGCCACAGGACTATCAACACTGCAAACTAGGCATGACAGGGCAGATCTCATTGAAACCTTTATAATACTGAACAAGTTAGAGAATGTTGATCCAGATATTTTCTTCAGAGGGTCAGATGTAACACAAACAAGGAGCAATGATTTCAAGCTCAACAAGCCAAAATATAGGACTGAAAACAGGAGATGCTTTTTACCCACATGGTTATTAACCCATGGAACTGCCTATCCGCCAAAACCATAACTGCCAAAACCGAGCCGAATTTCAAAATACACCTGGAAAAGATCATCAAGGCAATTGGGGGGGGGGACCTTCGACAAACTGCCGGTTTCCTGTCTTCGTCAAGGCCACTAGGGTTAGTGGCCCTCAGGTACTTATATTGAAAAAAAATTCTGATACACAGAATTTAAACAAGATCCACACCCATGTCTGGCACTTCCCCATCCAGCCACTGAACATGAGGACAACCACATTAGTGACCACTGATGTTATGCAAAATTTCAAGAACTTTAAATGATCTAGAAGAAATTAGTGACAAACAAGGAATATATTACAAGTACTATATGGGCTTGCTTATGCGAAGCCTGCTGATACAAATATTTGGGTTATCTGCTGATTTTTGCAGCCAGATATTTTTCTGCCAAAACTTCACCACATCCGAATAGCAATTCGGATATCCGGAGATTTCGCCTGATATTGCAGACAGGCATAGAATCTAAATCAAATTCAGAAGTTTCTACAAACTTCACCACATCCGAAAAATTTTGGGGACAACCGAAGATTTTGCCAGGTACCGCAGACAGGCATTGGGCCATACCACACTAATCCCATATAGCAGTGGCTCAAGGCGTAGGGAATGGGAGTTGTTGGGGGTGGCTGGTTTTGAGTTAGGGGTTTCGGGAGGAAGAGAGAATGTGGAGGGAGGGATTGCCTAGGGAATGAGGGGCCTATCATCTATACTGTACATATATCTGTATTGTATAGACTAAGAATTATGTTCAATCAATTCACTACAGTAAAAAAATATTATCTAATATAACAAATACAAATCTCTTAAAAACTGTGTGTACAGGCTGAAGACTAGTTCCTACTAAAATTTGGAAAAAAAAATCTGCCTGGTGGCCTACATAACGTGCCTATCTGCCCCAAGTGGACCCGTCCAGGCCTGGTCAACTTAAACAATCCATGTGCTCTCACCCCTCGTGTTACACCATAGTGCAGTGCCATTAGTGAAAACCATTTTTTTTAAATAACATTTTTGTTTTCATAGTAACTTTGATAATTTCTGTGCCAAGACTATGTCTGGCAGCAGCAGCAGCAATTGTTCTGGAGGTGTTAAGAGGAAGAAGGTTATGCTAACCACTGACGATAAGTTACGCATTATGGAACTCTGTGAAAATGGCCGGCTGGCTGTGTGTTGCCAAGGAATTTGGTATAGGCACTAGTACTGCCAGTCATGTAAAAAAAAAAAAACAGCGTTGAATGTAATGAAATGCCATTATCCGGGCAAGTCCCGGGGGCTCCCCGGAGCTATCCAGGCTGAATGGATATGTACAACTTTCTGGCATCAGACAATGCATGGAGTTCTTGCCTACTGGGGACCACGAGCCAGAACCTAGCCCCCTCTAGAGAGGCACGAGGAGCAATGGCCTATAGATACCCCCCCTTTATTATTGGGAGCATTCTATGTCTGCCATCGACCGGGGATAGACACCCAGAAAGGTAGGCGCCCCAAAACAAACCCCTATTCTGGTAAACTATAGCGACTGAAAACCGAACAGGTGGACAGAACTCCCCAAACAAAAATTGGCAAACAAGCATGACGTCATCATGTCGCTACGCCACTGTCTGCGCACCCCCCCCTCCCTGGGAGGGGGAAGGGGGGGAGCCCTAGACCCCACTGTCGGCGACCCAACCATTAGTTCTTAGGCTGGATGTCAAAACGACCCAGAAAATGGCGTTTCATTACATTCAACGCTGGTTTTCTGGGGGGAGCCCTGTCGGCTCCCCGAAGCTAACTACCCAAAGATAAGGAAAAATCAGGGACTTACCCAGGTGGCGGTCCGTCCTCACTCCTCAACACGAAGTCGAGACAACTGGCTGCAACCGCCGACCCAAAGCAATGCAGGCCCGACCAGGCCCAGGAACATTCACCAGGTAGCGAGCGGCCAAGACCCTGTTCGATCTCCAAAATCCCCGGGCCCGAATGTCCACCCAAAAAATGTTGCCAAAGACGGCAGCCAAAGCAGCAAATTTATGAATGTCGTGGGCGCAGGGAAAAATCGCAGGCTGGCTACACTTAACCCTGTGGACAATCTGAGAGACCCGAGCCAAGTAACAGGGAAGAAGAGAAGCCCGATCAATCCAGAGCACATCCCCGGCAACAGAATCCATGGTGCACAAATAATGGCAGAGAGCCACAACCGGACACAACACATGATGTGCACCCCCGGCCTGACCAACCAAGCATCAACATCCCACGGCCCTCTCCGGAACGCAGCCATCTCATTCTTCGCCAGAAAAGAGGGAGGTGGCTGCAAGCGAACAAAACGATCACCAGGACCGAAAGAGCAGAAACCTCGGCGCCGGAGGAGAGCATGAAGCTCCCCAACCAAACCCACCGAGGCCACAACAAACTGAGGCAAAGAGAGAAACGAGAGCACGCGGTCCAAGGACCAAGACGGGTTAGGCGGCACATGAGCAGGCTGGAGGTGAAACAACGCACGAGACAACTTGCAAAATGGGGCAGAAGTAATATCAACACCGAAAGCAAGCTGAAGTGGCTCCGCCAACGCCGCACGATACAAAGCGACAGTTTTCGACATAAGATGACGGTCCTGAAACAACCGAGAGAGAAAGGACAGAACAATCCTATCAGAGACCGAAGAACACTGACGCAGTGATAGGAAAAACTGGAAGGATCGCCAGGAAACCTCATACTGCCGCCGAGACGAAGCACACAGGTGGGAGACCAACAATGAACCCACCTGCGTACCATACAAGGTATGATAAACCAAAGTTAAAAACACCAGACGTGAAGACTCAAGGAGAAGACCGAACCAGCCTCGTACAGGGCTGGATCGATCTGCTGAAAGAGGCGGAGCCGCAGGAAGACCCTCGGGTTCGGACACCGAGCAAGCAGCGCTTGAAACCAAGGCAGGAGCCAGAAGGGCAACTCGACCTCGGTTAAGTCTCCAAGCGAATCAGGACCTGGAGCAACAGCAGAACCAGGGGAAAGAGGTAGAGGTAACTCCACCTCGCCCAGTCTTGCCTGAAGGCGTCGACCCCGACGGCCTCTCAGTTGGGGAAGGGCGCCACGTATACTGGGAGACGCCTCGACCATGCTGACGCGAAGAGATCCACATACGGAGTCCCGAACGTCCGGCACAGCCAACTAAAGGAGTCGGCATCGACCGTCCATTCTGTGGAAAGGGAAAGGAACCGGGACAGGCCGTCCGCCAGGATGTTGGACACCCCCCCCCCCCGGCGTGAACCGCCAGGAAAGTCAAACCCCGAGAACTCAGCAGACGAGTCATCTGAAGCGACCAGCCCCAAAGAGCCAAGGACCGCATCGAACCCCCACGGTTCAGGCAATGAACCACCGGGGAACAGTCCGAATGGAGCCTGATTGTCGATCCGCGAGCAACTCGAATCCTCTGGAGCGACATCCACACCGCCGTGAACTTCTGTACTGTGCTGTGAGCCTGACGGAAGGACGGACCCCACCGCCCCTGACCGGCCTGGTGGGCACTGGTCATAAAACCCCAGCCAAGAGACGACGCGTCCGTGTACACATCAAGTGAGGGCTCGGGAAGGCGCCAAGGCATCGAACCCCGAAAAACCAGAAGAGGAAGCCGGCGACGCAGCAAC